AGTCTTGGGATTTCAAAGAGGTCCCAGCTGACTGGAAGTCAACCAACGTTGTCCTAATTTTCAAGAAGGGCAAGAAGGAGGACCCTAGAAACTACAGGCCTGTCGGTTTCACTTCATTGCCTGGTCAAACCAAGGGAGAGCATTATTCTGAGAAGTATTGAAAAACATCTGGAGGACAGTGTAGGCATTGGTCACAGCCAGCATGGCTTCATGAGGGGAAGTCCTGCTTATCAAACCTGATTTCCTTCTCTGACTGGGTAAATCCGCCTGGTTGATCAAGGGAAGCCAGGTGATGGAATCTTTACTGATTTCAGCAAAGCTTTTGATACTCTCTTTCACAGGATCCTTCTGGACAACCTGCCCAGCCCCCAGCCAGATAAACACATCATGTAATGGGTGAGAAACTGGGGGTCAGGCACAATGGGGACAGTGACTGGGGTGACATCAGACTGGTGACCTGTCACTGCAGGGCTTTGTCATTGCCCTGGGCTCTTCAGCATCCAATGACTTGGACACAGGACTGGAAGGAATATGAGGCAAGTTCACAGAGGATACGAAACCGGGAAGAGCTGTTGCCTCCCTCAGAGGCAGGGAGGCCCTGCAGAGAGACCTCAGCAAAACAGAGGACTGGGCCATCACCAACCGTGTGAAGTTCAACAAGAGAAAGTGCCAGCCAGATTCTTTACTGGGGATGGGGCAGCCCTGCTCCTGTGGGTGGAGCAGGCAACAAGAGGCTGCAGAGCAGCTGCAGGAAGGGACCTGGGGTCCTGGTCAGTGGATCTGAGTCAGCAGTGCCCTGGCAGCCAGGAGGGCCACCCGTGTCCTGGGGGACATCAGGGAGAGCATGGCCAGCCCGGCAAGGGAGGGGACTGTGCTGCTGTGCCCTGCACTGGGGCAGCCTCACCTCGAGTGCTGGAGCAGATTTGGGCACCACAATGTTAAAAAGACATGAAGCAGTTAGGGAGCATGCAATCCAAAGGAGGCCATGAGGATGGAGAAGGAGTCTGGAGGGAAAGCCATATGAGGAGCTGCTGAGGGCACTTTGTCTGTTCAGCCTGGAGGAGACTGGAAGAGACCTCATTGTGCTCTTCAACATCCTCCTGAAGGGCAGCAGAGAAGCAGGTACCAATCTCTTCCCTCTGGTGAGCAGTGATAGGACTTGAGGAAATGTCTGGAGCTGAGTCAGAGGAGGTTTAGGCTGTATATGAGAGGAAGGTTTTTCAGCCAGAGGTTGGTTGGGCACTGAACAGGCTGCCCAGGACAGTGGTCACAAGCCTGTCTGAGTTCAGGGAGTGTTCTGACAGCACCCTGAGACACAGGCTGGGGGTGTTGGGTTCCCTGTGCAAGGCCAGGAGTTGGATTCCATGATCCTTGTGGGTCCCTTCCAGCTCAGCCTATTCTATGATTCTGTAATTCTAGGTTGGACAGGGCCTGGAGCAGCCTGGGACAGTGGAAGCTGCCCCTGCCCATGCAGCTGGATGAGTTTTAAGGTCCCTCCCAAACCATTCTGTGCTTGCATGGTTCTGATTCACATCCCCTTGTGCTGACCCTGCAGGGTCACTGTGCTTCATGGGGACCAGTTATTCCCAATTTTCAATAATTCAGGTGCTCTCTGCTCAGTGTAACCCCATCTCCAAAAGGATTTCAGCCTGGGCAGCAGCTTGGTGCAAAAACTGCCCCAGAAGGGGCACATTGGGGTGTTGGAGCTGTGTGTGATGGGGGGCACAGCCCTGGGACCCCCTGCACTGGGAAGGGTGATAGACAGGAGCCTCAAACAGGAACCAGGTTTAGGGAGGAAGAAAGAAGAAGGAAGCTGAGCTAATTTAGCTGTCTTGGAGATGGATCATTTGCCACCCGTGAGCACCACAAGAGAGAAGGGTTTTGGACTGCAGAGTCTTTGTAAAAGGAAAAGGAAATCCAATAGCTGGCAGCTAAATGGTGTAAATCCAGACTAAAATTAATGGAATATCTGGTGTTTTTTATGGGAAGATAATTTGCCATTGGAAAAACTTGCTTAAAACCTGCAGATTTCTTCTCCTCCTTCTCTCTGGGCCAGCCAGAGTGGATGCAGAGCTCCAAGGGGATCCTTCAGCTGAGGCTGAGGGGGTGGGACCAGTGGTGTACTGAGCACGACATTTCCACTGCACCGAGTTTTCATTAAATAAAAGGCTTTTAAAAATGCAAAATGCTTCAAAATATGAACTTTGTTTGGGGAATTATTTGTAATGACTTAGAATATATCTTGTTTTCCATTTTAGTCACTGCTATTAATGTACTTACTATGCACCACTGTCATTGATAGTTAAGATAAAGTAACAAATTCAGGGGGTTTTTAAAGCTTCTTGCTAGCACTGTGTGAAAAATGTTGGTTTCATTTCAGATCAAACGCCACTGGTGTTTTAATGAAAAAGCAAGATCCTCTGATAAAGTAAACACTATTATTGGCCTATGTAAACAAATACTCAGTTTAAAAAGAAATTTTGTAAATCTGACCCACAACATTTCGGGATTAGCTGTTTTCCAGAACTCTTCTTAGTGGGAAAAAATTGAAAAGAACTACTTTTTGCTTTTTACTCTTGGAATAAAACCAAATTTCGAAATCCTGGTTTCCTGTGAACTGGAAACCGCTGGCTGGAACCAGGAGTAATGAACAAGCCACAGTCTGAGGAGGATTTACTGCCAGGAGTAGGTGCAGGGAGCACAGTGCTGCCCTGGCACTTTTTGGGGTGCCAGTGGGAACAGGAGGTCACAGGCATGGAGCAGTTTCACCTCTGCATCCAGGCCTGGCTCTTCAGTGATGGATGTGCTCAAGGCTGAGCTTTTCTTCCTTTGTCTTTGTTCAATGGAGTGAAAGTGGAGAAGGTGGAGATGCTCCTGGGGGGTTTGTGGCAGTGTGCTTGATTTTCTGGTGGGGAGAGGCACAGCAGAAGGACATGGTTACACCCATAGCTCTCCATTCCCATTCTGGGACCACCCTTGGCAGTGTCCAGAGCCACGTTGGATGGGGCTTGTAGCAACCTGAGGTAGTGGGAGGTGTCCCTGCCCATGGGTGGGTGGGACTGGATGGTCTTGAAGGTCTCTCCCAACCCCAACCATTCTGGGGCCCCTGGTGTGTATGGGATGCCACTTCCCAGCTTCCCTGCAAGCGCACTTGGCATCCCCAGGGCAAGTGCTGAAATCAGGGGCAGATTCCCATTGTCCCTGCAGGGCAGAGGGACAGAATGTCCCCTCTGGGCATGACCGTGGTCTCAGCTCAGAATCACTGGCCATGTGCTGCCCTGTGCAGTGTGTCCCACCACACTCCCCTCATGTCCAGCCTCGGTGTTTTGAGGCCTTTGGGCAGAATTTCTAAACTGCATTTCCTAAACTCAGGAATATTGTCCTGTTTTCTTAAACTGTCAGCCTTGGGTGTGGTGCAGAAAAATCCCTGTATTGCCATGAGCATGTGGCTGCAGACCTGGAGGAACAGAGAGTTGCCCAGACTCTGGAAGCCACTCATGGAAGTGTCCAAAAAAGACTTTTGAGCACTCCCTGGGAAGTGTTAAAGGAGTAGATGTGGTTATTAGAGACATGGTTTGGTGCAGAGCATGGCAGTGCTGCAGTAATGGTTGCACTCAATGATGTTAGCTGGCTTTTTGAACCATGATTCCAAGTGTCTGTCCCATTGATTTCTGATGGGGCTGGCTGGCACCTTCCCCTGCTCATGTTGGCCCAGATATTGGGGTGCCATAGCCTGAGCAGCCCCCAGTGCCATCAGTGGAGTTAAACCAACGTACAGCTATTGGGGATGAGAAGAACTCCAGTGCTGGAGCATCATGAGCTGCAGGAAGGGTGAGGAGGCTTTGCTGTTGCCTGGCTTAGCAGGACTTGTCTGTGCTGGTTGGTGGTAGCATCACCTGACCTATTTCAACCCAAATCATCTGGAAAACCAGCTTTAACAGTGGTTTAATTTTTTAGTACTTTTAAGTCCTAAAAGTGCTGTTCCTCCCCACATCCTACTGCATCTCAGAGGATTCTCCCTACTGTGCAAAGTGCTGAGAAAAAAAATGTCCTGCTTTTGGCAAAGGAAACTAGAAGGTGATGGAGGATCCCAGCTCAGGCTGCTCCTCATCTGCAGCAGTAGAACTGGGCTGAGGGTACCTGGATTTGGGATTGAGAGGAGGAAAACCCAGCTTGGCTGATGGATGGAAGAGTCCCCATTCATAGCAGGAGACATTGCCTGGGCTGGGCACCTTGAGGTCCCACCTCAAATCCTGGGGTCAGTTTTGGGCCCCTAATGAAAATTAAGACATGGAGGGGCTGGAGCGTGTCCAGGGAAGGGAGTGGAGCTGGGAAAGGGTCTGGAGCACCAGGAGCAGCTGAGAGAGCTGGGCAGGGGCTCAGCCTGGAGCAAAGGAGGCTCAGGGGGCCCTTGTGGCTCTGCACAGCTCCTGCCAGGAGGGGACAGCCGGGGGGGATTTGGGATCTGCTCCCAAGGAGCAAGAGACAGAACAAGAGGAAACAGCCTCAGGCTGTGCCAGGGGAGGTTTAGATTGGATATCAGGGAAAGTTCCTTCATGGGAAGGATGGTCAGGCATTGGCCCAGGGCAGTGGTGAAATCACCATCCCTGGAGATGGTAAAAAATGTGTAGATGTGGCACTTGTGAACAAGTAGTTCACAAGTGGTTTAATGATGGTTTAATGATGAACACATGATTTAATGATGAACATTGTTTGGTGCTGGGATGATGGTTGCACGTGATGATCTCGGAGGTCAGTTCCAACCTTAACATTTTTTGATTCCAAGATTCTGCATGGGGGCCAGGGAGCAGTGGGCAGTGGGTGGGGAGCAGTTGGGTGGAGGGACCAGTGCTTGGGTCCCCTGGCTGAGATGTGGCCAAAGGGCTCAGTGTGGGGTGGGCTGCAGCCCTGCAGCCCTGGGCTAGCCCCTCTCCACCTTTTTCCCTGTCTTCCATCTTCATCAGCAGCCAGTGACTCCTTGTTTCCTCTTCCTTCCACAGAGACACTGATGGACTCCACCACGGCGACAGCAGAGCTGGGCTGGACAGTGCATCCTCCCTCAGGGGTAAGGCATCACCTGGCGGGCACCTGCAGCTGCTCTGGGTCTCTTCTGCATGTGAATGTGGCAGGCTTGGCCCAGGAAATGTCAGGCATTGATGCAAAGTGCCTTGGCCATGTGGAAAGAGCACAGTTGAGGTTTCCAGTAGTTTTCTAGGAGATGATACTCCAAAAAATACCCCAGTGTTGGTGGGATGTAGTTCCCACCCGTGGTGCTAGAGGAATCACAGTCTCCATAGAGCATGCAGATACCTAAAACTGAGGAGAGGAAGAAACAATATGCCAAAGCCACCATCATTTGTCCCCAGTGCCCTCAGTTGTTATTCCATTGCCTGTCACTTGTAGCAGGATGAGGGCATTAGGCTCAGGTCCTGAGAGGACTGGCATCCCACAGGGAGATGTTTGCTGGCTCAGCAGAACTACCTGTCTTCCTTACCAGGGCCAGGTGTACCCTGAAACACGTTCAAAGACCACCCTGAAGAAACTCCTTTAGAGGAGAGCTTGGGCAGGGCAGTGCATCAGGTTCATCCCCCAGAGGGTGCAGGCACTGCCCAGGCTCCCAGGGAATGGGCACAGCCCCAGGAGCATTTGGGCAACGCTCCCAGGGATGCACAGGGTGGGATTGCTGGGGTGTCTGGGCAGGGCCAGGAGTGGGACTCAATGATTCCTGTGGGTCAGTTCCACCTCAGAACATTCTGTGACTCTGTGATTTCTGCACCCTTCTGCTCATGAGGGAAAACCAGAGTTGGAGCCACCTCTGTGTCCCACGTGGGGCATCAAGGTGCTTCAGAGCATCCTGCCCACCTCTGGCTGTGGTAACCAGCAGCAGCCACAGTGTCCAACCCTCCAGACTTGCCCCCTTGCACTTGGGTGGCCCAACCCAGCCTGGCCAAAGCCTGGAGATGCTTCCATGCCCGTGCATGGCAGTGGTGGCTCGGGCTCCATCCTGCCTTCCACCCACCCTGCAGGGGCTGGATGAAGACGTTTCTGTGGCCCTCACCCCCAGGCTGACAGCATGGCCCCGGTCTGAGCCGACTTGGCAGGAGAAAAGAGCGAGCCCCGAGCGGCCTTGTCTGGGAGATTAAACCGAGCCGTGCGGCGTGGCCGCGGTGCCGCGCCAGGCACGGGCGCTGCCCGTCACCATGAGAAAGGGCAGAGCTGCCTGGCCCCGCCAGTGCCCGCCGAGGGGGATGACGGGCACACAATGCAGGGGAGAAGAGGTCAAGTCTCTTTCTCTCGTGGCCCAGCCTTTCTTGTTTGCGGTGTTTCCATATGTGAAGCACGCCCTGCTCCCGCTCCCCAGCGCGGCCGTAATGAGGCCGGGGCCTGCTGGAAGCCTCTCCCCGGTTATTGTGCTGCTGCCTTCCTTTGAGCTCCCGGCATGTTAATTAGAGAGCCAAGAGAAAGGGAGAGGCTTCTAATTAAGCGTCGAGGAAGCGCAGGGGCTGGTGCACGGGGGTGACTTTCTCTCCCATCTGGGAAAAGGGAAGTCTGGAGGCAGCCACTCGCTGTGGCAGGGATGTGGGAGGATGCTGGGGGTGCCGAGCCTGGCCCCCAGGGTGCTCCCAGGTCCCCCATCAGGGTGGAGATGCCCCTCTGGACGGTGCCATGCAGTCCCAGGGGTTGGTGGGATCGCCTCCTGTCTCCACCTGTGAGCAGGGTCCTGAGGGGGGATATGGGCACATCATGTCCTGCTCTGGGTTCATCGTGGGTGACAGTTCTGCGGTGCCTTCATGGCCTCATGTCCACGGGCAGGACAAGGCAGTGCATCCCACTCAGAGGTGGCTGGTCAGGTTGGATGCAGCCAGCATCACCTGGAAGACAGAAGCTGCTGTGTGCTCCTTTTTGGGGATTATTACAGACCCCAAAGCCCAAACAGTTGCTTTTTGTCTGGCTCTGAAACTCTTGTGCCATTCGTATAGGTCCCCAAGCCCTGCCTCCATCTGCTGTGGATCCCAAGGCCTGGAGACCCTCATTCCACCATGTGCTGCTCCTGCCTGACCGAGGCTGAGCTCTCTGGGCTCGTGTCCTTACCCTCCCTGGGGGCTGGGCAGGTGTGGGTGGGGGTCCCTTGGTCTCAGTAGCTGCCAGGGTGGGAGTCTGGAGTGGTCCAGGTGAGGGAGAGCCACATCAGAGGCAGGGCAAGGGAAGGAATTGCTTCCACATGCCTTGTCCTTGATTCCCTCACTCCCCTCCCAGCCAGTGCCCTGAAAAGCAGGGAGATCCTGCAATTTTCCACTAACACACCAAATTTATTTCTGGAAAACAAAGCAAATCTGGCTGTGTTTTGCGAGGATGCTACTCTTGTCCCCCAGCCCTGGCAGCAGATTTACAGCTACTGCCAATCTGAAGTGGTTGGAGCTGTTGGGGATCTTCCCTGACAGCCTTCTGTTGGGCTGTGAGCCTTGATGTGCTAGGAGCAATCTGTCTCCCATCTCCTGAGCCTCTTTCCCCAGTCCTGGGTGCCCTTGTGAGGCCGTTTACAACCTGAGGGGCTGGGGATGCTCTGCTCCTGCAGGATTTTCCCTGGATTTGGTCCTGGCCCTGGTGCTGGATCTGGGCTGTGCTGCTGCCCTGCCCTGCCCTGGGTGTTGTGATCCTGCATCCAGGGCAGGGTTGTGCTTGGGGAGTAACATCCATGGGAAACAGCTCGGCTTCCACTTGAGCAGGTTTCTGAACAAATTCAGAAGGAGCAGTTCCAGCTGGCTGGGACTGTGCCACACGCCAGCAGGATTCTGGTCCCTGTTGCCAGCATCACACAGGTGCCCTGGGTGGGGATGGGACTGCAGGGAGATGCTCTGCTCTCTGGCAGGGGCTGGGCAGGAGGAGATGCTCTGTGAGCTGAGGGTTCTCCTCCCACAAAGACCCTTCCCTGTTGGTGCTCCCCGCAGAGGAGCAGTGGCCAGTTACAGGCTGCAGCTCATGCCCTGCATCTCCCTCTGAGATGTCCCCACCTTACATAGAATGGAGACAACAAGAACTGGAGGATTTGGGAAAAAACAGCCCGGGAAAAGGGCAGAGAGCTGGAGAAGGCCAGGTGATGTCACAGCAGCCCTGAGCTCTGAGGGGACCCAAGGGGACAGCTGGAGCTCTGTCAAGGGGGTTTAGACTGGATGTTAGGAAAGGTTCTTGCCCCAGAGGGTGCAGGCACTGCCCAAGCTCCCCAGGGAGTGGGCACAGCCCCAAGGCTGCCAGAGCTCCAGGAGTGTTTGGACACCACTCTCAAGCACAGGGTGGGATTGTTGGGGTGATTGTACAGGGCCATGAGGTTGACTTGATGATCCTTGTGGGTCCATTCCAGCTCTGGATGTTCTCTGTAACTCTACAGAGCTTCCTGCAGAGCTGGCAGAGTCAGTCAGCTGGGGAGAGCTGGGCAGAGCTTCCCATGGGGAAATCTGTCAGCTCTGAGCCGTCTTGCTGAGAAGGATATTGCTGTCATGGCACAGCTCATAGGCATGTCTGCATCCCAGAGGTCCAGTTCAGGACAGCTGGGGTTGGGACCTGAGCACACCTGCTGGAGGAGCTCCAAAGCATTTGATTGTCAAAGGGGCAGGGATGAGGGCTCCAGTGGGACTTACCCAGCACCTCCCTTTTTGGGAACACGGCAGGATTTGCCATGGTCCCATCCTGCCCCTGGGAGGAGGCCCTGGCTGCAGCCAGGCAGGAGGTTTTATGGCTTATGAGGAAGCAGGTCCTGTTGCCGTGTCTGTAACCATAGTGGCACTGGTGGCAATCCCTGTGTTCCTTTGCCAGAGGCACAGCAGTACAGTGCAGCCATGGGCACAGTCCCTATTAAAGCCATTTCTGCAGAGCAGTGGCCTTGCTGTCCCTCCAGGAGCAGAGAGGCTTGATCCTGAATGCAGGCATGGAGCATGGTGCTAGGGACAGCAAGGTGGCCTGAGGGGCCCCTTTGTCTGCACAGCGTGGAGCCTGCCTGGGGCACGGGGTGGGTCAAACCCTGCCCAGGCAGGTACAGGGCACCTGCAGCGGGTGCTGGGAGGAGGTGCTGGGCACTCTGGGACCGCCTGTGGGATGGGGTGGGCACAGAGAGGGGCAGCTGGGGCTGGCAGAGCCTGCGTGGCACATCGTGGGGATGGGAGGAGGCGAGCAGGGTGGGGAGCGCCCCTTCAGAGCAGCCCCTGACTGTGTGTGTGTGTGTCCTGCCCGCAGTGGGAAGAGGTGAGTGGGTACGATGAGAACATGAACACCATCCGCACCTACCAGGTGTGCAACGTCTTTGAGTCCAGCCAGAACAACTGGCTCCGCACCAAGTACATCCGCAGGCGAGGAGCACACCGCATCCACGTGGAGATGAAATTCTCTGTCCGGGACTGCAGCAGCATCCCAAATGTCCCAGGCTCCTGTAAGGAGACTTTTAACCTCTACTATTTCGAGTCGGACTTGGACTCGGCCACCAAGACTTTTCCTAACTGGATGGAGAATCCTTGGATGAAGGTGGACACGATCGCTGCTGACGAGAGCTTCTCACAGGTGGACTTAGGTGGACGGGTGATGAAGATCAACACCGAGGTGCGCAGCTTTGGGCCCGTCTCCAAGAACGGTTTCTACCTGGCCTTCCAGGACTATGGGGGCTGCATGTCCCTGATTGCCGTCCGTGTCTTCTACCGCAAATGTCCCCGTGTGATCCAGAACGGGGCTGTCTTCCAGGAAACCCTGTCGGGAGCGGAGAGCACCTCGCTGGTGGCAGCCAGGGGCACGTGCATTGCCAATGCGGAGGAGGTGGACGTGCCCATCAAGCTGTACTGCAACGGTGACGGCGAGTGGCTGGTGCCCATCGGCCGCTGCATGTGCCGCGCCGGCTACGAGTCCGTGGAGAACGGGACCGTCTGCAGAGGTAACCACGGGCTCTGCTCTGCTGGGGTTTGCATCTGGGATCTGCATGGACCAGAGGGAGGGAGCTCCTTGGGCAGGGGTGGCAGAGGGGCAGTGTGGAGGCTGACTCCTTCCCCAGCTGCTCATTTCCTACCCCAGGCTCATCTGTCCATTGCAGAGGTTGTCCATGACCTCCGGGTCCCCAGAGCCTCTGGGTTCAGGGCTGGCACCTGTTGCTGGTGCCTCTCCAGGTTTTGGAGGCTCACACGTGTGGTGTGTGTCACCAATCTGCAATTGCATCCCAAAATACTGGGGCTGTTACGTGTTGGTTTTGCTGTGTGCTTTGGCATGGGCTGAATCTCTTCTTGGAAGAGGGGAGTGGGAATGCAGGGTCCCAAAAGGGTGCAGTGGGAGGGAGCCAGTTGTCTACAGTGTTCTCCTGGTGTGTCTACAGTGTTTTCCTGGGGAGGTGCAAATGGCCCAGGGCAGGACATGGTCATGGCCTGTTCAGATCTGCCTGGCCCCTGCGCCCTCAACAGCCAGCGGTTTCCTGCCCTATAAATGTTCTGCCTCTGTAGATGTTCTCCTCCTCCATAGATATTCAGAGCAGACTCCGTGAGTGCCTGCTGAGCTCAGCTGAGCACCTTGGAGCCAGCCTGGTCCCAGGCCAGCAAGAGGCTCAGCACCCGCTCCCTGAGCTGATGTCTGTGCCCTGTCCAGTCAAACAAGGGCTTGGGAAAGTTCAGGAAGGAGCTCCTGGGGTTGCTGGGAGGGAGGTGGGAACCCCAGAGCTGTGTGATGGGCACCTGCAGCTGTGCCATGCACGGAGCAAACCACAGAGTTTGAAAACAGGATCTTTTTCCCCTGTCCTGGCTGAACCTCCAAATCCCTCTGTTGTTCCGATAGCATTGGCGCACTCCAAGCAGAGCCAGGGCTTCTGAGATCCATTACAGACACGTTGGTGGCCACTGTAGAGCCAAGGGAGGAGCTGTGTCTCCTCTCTTCTGGCTGTGAAGGGTTGGCCAGGTAGAACCAAAGCATTGGGAGGGCGCTGGTAGTGGGAGACAGACACACTGGAGAGGGGAATGGACAATCTGATTGTGCTCGGTAGGGACTGCAGGCTGTATGGTCCCCTTGGAGAGGGCTGCATGTCTGCTGCTGGTGGCTGGGCTGCTCATGCACCAAAATTCAGGTCCTGGTGTGCTGTGGGGATCATTTAATATCCATCATTTCAGCTACTCCATGCTTAGCCACTGAACGCCTCTTCCCACCGAGCTCGGGCAGATCAGGTGTCTTACAGCCTTAGCAGGGATGGGGATGGGGGCAGCAAGGAAGCGCTGCTGGAAACTGAGCCCGGCTAATCCCTGCCTCGAAGGGCAGACGGGGCTTTTACAACTCCCAAGTGAAGCATCCGTAGCAACACCAGAGAGCCCCAGTGATTCATGGCAGCTTTTCCGTCTCAGCCTGTTCGTTCCCGGAGCAGACCCAGCCCTGCACAGTGCTTTGCTCTGGTGCAGCCGGGGTTTCTCTCTCGGGGAGCTCCCGGTGCCGCTGCGGGCCCAGCCGAGGGACAGTCCCCCCTCAGGGACCGCTCCTGCAGAGCCTGTGCCGCAGGGCTGGGGGAGCAGAGCCGGCAGGAGCGGGGGCCGAGGCGGGGCAAGGAGGGAGAGGCCGGTCCTCCTTTGTCTGGGCTGCAGCAGCAGCAGCAGCAGCAGCAGCAGGATTTTGGGAGGTCCGGTACCTCGGCAGCTGTTCCTGCAGCCGGTGCTGGCGAGCGCCGGCCCCGCGCTCCCCGCCCTCATTAATCACGCGGTGGCCGCCAGCCCATCGTCTCCATGGGGCAGCTGGCTCGGGGCTGCCTCCCCTTCCCCTTCCCCTTCCCCTTCCCCTTCCCCTTCCCCTTCCCCTTCCTATTCCTTTCTCCCCCTCTTCTTTTCTTTCCCTTTCCCTTCAGTCTTTGCCTTTGCCTTCTCCGTTCCTTCTTTCCCTTGCCCTTCTCACGTGGGGTGCAGTCAGGGCTGGATGGCACCCCAGGATTGTGCCCCTCCATTTTTCCCTGGCAGCCCCCAGAAGAGGAGGGGGGACTGGGAGGAGAGCCAGACACAGAGTTGGCAGGACAGCCATGGAATCCCCGTGCTCTCCCCTCCCAGCCCTCCCAGTGAGCCGCACAAAGGGCTGGGGAGGGGCTGCTCGCACAGCTCTGCTCGGGAAGGACCTGCGGGATGTGTCCCTGCAGGATGTGTCCTTATGGGATGTGTCCCTGTGGGATGTGTCCCTGCGGGATGTGTCCTTATGGGATGTGTCCCTGTGGGATGTGTCCCTGTGGGATGTGTCCCTGCGGGATGTGTCCCTGCATCCCCGCTCTGCTCGGGAAGGACCTGTGGTCTGTGTCCCTGAGGTCTGTGTCCCTGTGGGCTGTGTCCCTGTGGGGTGTGTCCCTGCGGGATGTGTCGCTGTGGGATGTGTCCCTGTGGGATGTGTCCCTGCGGGATGTGTCCTTTTGGGATGTCACCCGGCGGGATGTGTCCCTGTGGGATGTGTCCCTGCGGGATGTGTCCCTGCATCCCCGCTCTGCTCGGGAAGGACCTGCGGGATGTGTCCCTGTGGGCTGTGTCCCTTTTGGGACATGTCCCTGCATCCCCGCCGTCCTCCCGCCGGGTCCCTGCCCCGCTCCCTGCGGAGGCAGCGGTGGAGCCGCCTGGCTTGGGGGACTCACTCCTACATGTGGCTGGCAGGTTTGCTCGTGTTTCCAGGGGTGGGAGGGAATCTGGGCCCCTTTCCAGAAGCAAAACAATAGCAAATCTGAGCTGGCTTTGGGGGTGAGGTTCTCTCACACACTCAGGCGCCCAAACAGGACGTGGCAGGGAGCGTGGGGGGCCAGGGCCTGCTCCACCAAAGGGTCCAGGTGCAGAAGGGCATCCCAAGGAATGGACAACCCCTGTGTGTAGCTGGAAGGAGTTGCTCATTTTCTCCGCTGGGTTTTTCATCTGGCTAATAGCACGGCAGCCTGCTCGCGGCAGTGTGCACAAGGGATATTTATGGAGGAAGTTCATGCATCTAACAGCTTAAGCTCTTCTAAGCTCGCAGCCCCAGCACAAAAGGATTTGGGGGCAGTTAACAATTCAGTGTGGTTAAGAGATTTTCATTTGGCTGGGCTGGCTTGCCGCTCCTGCAGGCCCTGCAAGGGGCTGGCTGCCGCTCCTCGCTGCGAGGGGCTGCACACAGCCCAGCCCCGTCCTCCCCGCTTCACCTTCTGCTCCCTGCCTGCTTTTCTCTCTCCATCTCCCTGTTCTTTGTCTGCGCCTCCCCCTCCTCTCCCCTCCCCTCCCTCCCATGCAGCACATCGAGCGTTTCTCCCTCTGCCTCCCGTGCCCATTGGCTCCGCTCAGGCACGGCAGGGGCAGAGCCATTGTGTGCCCTTGGGCTGGCTGGACAGAGCATGGACACTGCCTGCACGGTCCTGCTGCTCAGGGACAGGGCATGGACACTGCCTGCACGGCTGTGCTGCTCAGGGACAGGGCATGGACACTGCCTGCACGGCTGTGGGCTCAGGGACAGAGCATGGACACTGCCTGCACGGCTGTGGGGATCAGGGACAGAGCATGGACACTGCCTGCACGGCTGTGCTGCTCAGGGACAGAGCATGGACACTGCCTGCACGGCTGTGGGCTCAGGGACAGAGCATGGACACTGCCTGCATGGCTGTGGGGATCAGGGACAGAGCATGGACACTGCCTGCACGGCTGTGGGCTCAGGGACAGAGCATGGACACTGCCTGCACGGCTGTGCTGCTCAGGGACAGGGCATGGACACTGCCTGCATGGCTCAGGGACAGGGCATGGACACTGCCTGCACAGCTGTGGGCTCAGGGACAGGGCATGGACACTGCCTGCACGGCTGTGGGGATCAGGGACAGAGCATGGACACTGCCTGCACGGCTGTGCTGCTCAGGGACAGAGCATGGACACTGCCTGCACGGCTGTGCTGCTCAGGGACAGAGCATGGACACTGCCTGCACGGCTGTGGGCTCAGGGACAGGGCATGGACACTGCCTGCACGGCTGTGGGGATCAGGGACAGAGCATGGACACTGCCTGCACGGCTGTGCTGCTCAGGGACAGAGCATGGACACTGCCTGCATGGCTCAGGGACAGAGCATGGACACTGCCTGCATGGCTGTGGGCTCAGGGACAGGGCATGGACACTGCCTGCACGGCTGTGGGCTCAGGGACAGGGCATGGACACTGCCTGCATGGCTCAGGGACAGGGCATGGACACTGCCTGCACGGCTGTGGGCTCAGGGACAGGGCATGGACACTGCCTGCACGGCTGTGCTGCTCAGGTACAGCAGCTGATGGCTGCTGCTCCCAGCCCTTCATCCCCTCTGCAGCTCCTCTCCATCACAGCAGGGCATCTCTGGTCCCTGCCTTCTCTTTGTTGCGCTCCTGCAGCACTGAGCACCGGGAGTCCTGGTCTTGCTGGGGTGGCAAGGGATGGTTTTGCCCTGCTGGTGGTGACACTCTCTGGCTGTCAGAGACATCTGGTGTCATCCCTTGGGGTCACAGGCCTTTCTGAGGAGGAGAGGAGCTGCTGAGCTGATGGGAAGAGGAGAAACCAAGTGAGATTCAGGCTGGCAGCTGTCTTCTCCTTGGACTCTTCTCTGTTCTCTGCCCCTCTACTCTGCTTTTGTGAGACCCTCCTGCAATGCTGCCTCCAGCTTTGGGGTCCCCAACATTTTTTTAGCAGGATGTGGAGCTGCTGGAGTGAGTCCAGAGGAGGCCACAGAGATGTCATGAGGGCTGGAGCTCCTCTGCTCTGCAGCCAGGGCTGGGAGAGCTGGGGGTGTTCACCTGGAGAAGGCTCGAGGGAGAGCTCAAAGCCCCTTGCAGGGCCTGAAGGGGCTTCAGGAGAGCTGGAAAGGGACAGGGGACAGGGGATGGAGGGACAGGACACAGGGAATGGCTCCCAGTGCCAGAGGGCAGGAACAGATGGTATATTTGGGAGGCATTTCTGGCTGTGAGGC